CTGACAGTTTTGAGAGTGTCCACTGGCCCCCTCATCACCTCAAGTCATCGTCCCCTCACGTTCACAGTCCAATCCCCGTTTACACTCACTCTGCATCCTTTCCACTCAGGCATCTCTCAGGTCCCTGGCTGACTTCCATCTCCACTGCCCAAAGGACCCTGACCCTCGAAGGCCACTGACAATCCTAACGACCTTCCCCAAGTACTCAGTCTCAGTGTCTCCACCCTACTGGCCCCTCCAAATTCTCCTTCCTCAGCTTTCTTTACCCTAGCTTTTCCTTCTTCTCTTCCAGCTTTTCCTCTTGGCGCCCTGTTAGCCTCTTTCATCCTCCTCTAAGCCCACAAACATGGTTTTTCTGAGCTCCATCCTGGCCTTTTCCCCTTCTCACTCACACTTGGAAACATTCTCACAGCTTCGGCATCCCCTGTCATAAGGATGCTCGCAATTCCATCTCTGTTTTTAACGGCTGCCATCCATTTGGACAGTTCCACAGGCAGATGGAAATCAACATACCCAAATCCAAGCTTCCATTAATTAGACACATCTTCACTGACTGCATGCACTCACAGGTGCTTCACTAGTGGCCTTCTTGATGATTTCATTTTCCGCCATCACTATCCAAAGTCATTTAGCTTCAGTCTGACTCCTCCCTCAACTCCTTCATCCAATCAGACAACAGATCCCAATGCATTTACTATTTCTACAGTGTCTCACCCACCCAACTGCCCCTATTCTAACTTAGGTTCTCAGTGCTTTTCTTCTGGGAGCTATTTTAATAGCTTTCAAACTGGGACTAACCAGGACGCCTCCAATACAAATTGGTTTCATAGAGCACAGCTTTCATCACATCATTCCCCGACTCAAACTACTGTTGATAGTTATCTACAGCCTACTGACCAGACTCCTTAGCCCAGTGTTCAAGATGCTCACAACACGGTCCTACCTCTGCCATGCAGCCTGCTGTCCCTCTCTCCTGCCTCAAGGCCCCTCACCCACCAGCTTGACCACATTCCTCTCCAGTGTTAGGTATGCTCATCTATCTTTTCCTTCAAGTCTTAGTATAGGTTGAGCCCTACATCTCTGCCAGTTGAAACTCTACCAATTCTTTAAAGCCTTGCTCAAGACTCCTTAATTAAAATTTCCCCATTTTCCCCCAGCTAGAAACAGTGTGTTCCTTCTCTAAAATCACAAAGCATTTACTTTATGCCTCTGTAACAGTTCCTCCATGTAATAAAGTCTGTGGTTACCTATCTTATGGGCTTCTCAGGTGCACTAGTGGTAAAGAACCCGCCTGCCAATGCAGGAGATGTAAGAGACTCAGGTTCAACCATGGGTTGGGAAGACCCACTGGAGGAGGGCATGGTAATCCACCTCAGTATTTCTGCCTAGAGAATCTCATGGACAGGGGAGTCTGGAGGTTGACAGTCCATAGGGTCACAAAGAGCCAGACACAAATGAAGCGACTTAGCTTGCATCTGTCTTAAGCTCCCTACATGCTTCCTAAGCCTCTCAAAGGAAGGGTGCCTATGTCTGATTAACTCATATACATCCTTATACTGCCTTATACATAGTAAGATGAATGAGAGGCTGAAAGTTAACTTTGTATCTAGCATATAGCACATAAAATAATGAAAACATAGCTAAGATCATCAAAGCTAATTATAGCAAATTCTTAGGAAGGCCTAGAAATTAACCATTTTTGCAGTTGCTCTTATTAGATCAACGATATATGAATAATTTCAACTAAAACGGTAGGACGACTGTACATTCTTTTTCTCCTCTCTTTATTTTTTAAATTATGACAGTATGATAACACATTTACAAGAGATTTAGAAAACACATAATGAAGTTACGGATAGTTCCACTATATATTACATTTTTTAAGTAGATAAACTAAGATTTGTAATTGGAGTTTCATTATCAAACTCTCAAAAATAGAATGAATACGCAAAAAAGCAGTAGGATACAGTAGATCTGAAAAGCACTATGAACCAATTCAACATAATTAAGATTTATACAACTTTGACACAAGAGAAGGATACTAATTCTGTTCAAGTTCCCATAGACTATAAACTAGGAAACACTAGAACATACCCAGGAACTGTGTGTTTTTTATCAGTTCCTTAAACTATACAGTTAAAGACATTAGGGATCATTTAATTCCCCTCCTCCCAGGCCAATCACCAGTTCTGCAGTTGAGAAAACTGAAGCTTTAAGAAATTGAGTTGTTCTCTTGGTCATATAAATCAGAAGTCAAAATATAACTTTCCATTTATTAAGGGCCTAGTATACACAAGGTAATTTACACACATTATCCCAGTCTTACAACAGTCCTTCAAGGTAGGCGGTATTACCCCCACTCAGAAATGAGAACATTCAAAAAGGTTAAGTAACTTGCTACAGACAGCCCTGCTTGTGAGAGACATAGCTGAGCTTCGGCCTCAACTCTGGCTGAGAAGTCTAGGCTTTTCCACTTGTTTTTAATTGGAGGATAACTGTTTTACAATACTGTGTTAGTTTCTTTCGTACATCAGCATGGACATATGAGGCATACATATGCCCCCTCCCTCTTGAACCTCCCTCGCTGTGGCAAAGGCAAAACCTTTACCAGGTGTCCTGAAATAGCCTTCTACTGTTTCTTCAGTGAATAATTATGCCAACTAAGCAAGTGCATACACTTACAAGTTGTAAGCCATCTTACTTGAAATTTTGGAGGAATGAAAATTAAGCAACAGCTTCATTACCATAAAAGTTTTAAGGTTAATTACTGCCAACATCCTGACTTTCTTGTCAAAAACATTTTTAATCTGGAAAAGATACATGTTTTCCTGCTTTCTCAATTCTTAAACAAAATTTTTAACTTAAAATACACTTGTCTAACCACATTCAACAAGTATGTGTTGATCCCTTGGATGTCCAAGGCACAGGGGAGGGTACAAAGTTGAATACGACATCATTTCACTCTGAGAGTTCACCAGTAAGAGGCAGAGAATCCACTAACCACAACCACTCATCCCCAACTATGGGAGCTCTGGCTGATTCAAGGACTTCCAAACAATAAGTCAAGACATTCGAGTCTAATCCCAGTCCTGCTCCCCAGGCAAATCATCCCACTCTGCCTTAGTTTACTCAGTAAAGGAACTGATAAAAAGGAATGAATTATACCAACCAACTTTAAGGTCCCTTTTAGCTTTAAAATTCTATTATGTCTGAGCTCACTCTTGAGATTACACTACTACAGAAAGGGAACTGCTGGAAGCCCACTCTTCTCTGGCAGTGAATTAGGAAGAACTGGGTTCTGAGAAGATTCCTACAATGTAAAGCTATGCCTCCAAAGTTTATCATTTATAATCAAAAAGTTTGCTGAAGTTTTTCCTGAGGGGAGGTAGTATGAAGCAAGACATTCGAATCCTTCTTCCATTGTATCACTGACATATTATAGTTTTAATTCTTTACAATCTGTTTAAAGTATTCAAATTAAAAATATACTTTAAAATAACTCCTTCTATCTACTCTCCTATGGAGTTAAGCTATGGACACTAACAACAACAGAGCTGAGGCCCCTGCTAGAGACGGAAATCTTGTATTCATTTAGTTAAATTAATACACCATATTAAATGCTGCCTACTAAGGACCATCCCAAACTATGCTAAATTTGAGGTTGGTGTGCAGGCAGTGGGGAGGGAGGAAATAGAAATATCAGTATTTCAAATACCACTGGAAACATGTAGTACTGTGGGAACTGGTTTTGCCAATTTCCTTTCAATATCCTCTACTTCTCAACTAGCACAGGTATTATTTTTAATCATCCATTAACCTCTACAGTTACATTTTCTCTTGACAAGGCTCCACATGCCTTATCTTTCGTCATACTCGGCATCTTAGGATATACAGCTCAAATCCATCTTGTGCTGTAGTTTAACACCACAGAGGAGGAAATGAATCAACCAAAAGAAAATTGGAAGAAAAAAGTTAGAACTGTCCCATCTTAGTGCCTTGCCCACAAAAAGGTTACAGTTAAGTTCAACAGTCAAAGACAGACTCACCAAGAAATCAGGGAAAAGGAATTTACTCATTCACTAGTCAACAAATCCTGAGTGCCTACTATGCCAGGAACTGTTCCAGGTACTAGAGTTACATCAGTAACAAACCAGGCGAAAACTCCTGCCATAGTAGAGCTTACGTTCTAGTGAAAAGGGACAGGACGCAAAGAACACCCAAAGAAAATCTTTTCAGATAGTGATTAAGTTCTATGAAGAAAATAAAATCGGCCTGGGGGTGGTCCCTGGGATGAGGAGTGAGAGGCCACTTAAGTTAATCAAGAGGGCCTTGCTGAGTAAATGCCATTTGAGTTGAGTTCTAAATGATGAGAAAACTTTACTCAGTCTTAAAAGCGTAGGGTGTGGTAGGAATGAATCAAGTTAGTCTTTAAGGGTGGTCACAGTGGTCAAAAGTTTTGAATTAATGGTAAACTAGGTTCCTTGTAGGATTTGGCTTTAAAAAAGCCCTAAACCTAAGCCTTTAAGTAGAACCCCTCTATTTAGGAACTACTTATTTTTAAGATCCACTAACTTTTAAACTTTCTGCTAATTACACTGGCGGTACTTAAGTAGAGGCAATTACTAGAGGGATGCCTTCTAGTGCGTCCAAAACCTCACTTGACACCATGCAGATTCTAATGAGAGCGGACCCACACCTGCAGCGAACCAGTGCTCTCCACCGACTCATCAACTCAGCCAGGTGGAATCTCGCAACTCTTCTAAGAACGGGAATCAAGCCTCGGGAAATCTGGGCAAACTGACACTCCTCCCCCCCTAAAGTTTCCCCAAACTGCGGGAGGTGGGGGGAAAAAACAAACCCCATCCTTTTGCGCTCTCTCCCCACCCCGGCCCTCCCGGCGTCACCGCCGCGGAAGGGCCGCGGTCCCCGGGGCAGAGGCACACGGCGAGTACGCGCGGGGTGTACCGCGCATGAATCATCGGCGCCCGGTCCGCGGGGCGATGATTCATTCACCGCCCCGGAGGTGGCCCACGGCCACACATTTCGGGCGTACGGGGACGGCCGCACACGCAGCTTCCTTAATATTAAACAAATGTTTCAAAGTACAAACGCCCGGAGCCAGAAACGTGTCGACCCAGGCCAGGCGGCGAGAAGGAAACTGCACGTTTCGGCCGCTGCCCGAGTGTTCCCGGGGTCGGGAGGGGAGCGCGGAGCACGTCCGTCCACCCGGCCGCCGACCCCCTTCCAGTCCCCGACCCCGCTGGCGCGCGGGCAGCACCCGCAGGGGGCGCGGCGGGCGCACAGGTGGGTCCCCGCCGGCCCGGCCTCCCGCCCCTCCCCGCCACTCGCGGAAGGCCGACGCGCCCTCGCCGACGCGCCGCCCGCTCGCCCCTTTCCTCTCCGTGACATCTTATATAATAACCCGAGCTAATCAAAACGGAAGCGACGCGCGCTGCCGGGGCCCGGCTCCCGGCTGCCACTGGATGCTCGCGCCCCGAGCCCCCGGCCCCCGAACTAGGCGCCAGAGCGCGCGGCTCCGGGGGAAGGGCCAGAGCGCCGCCTCGGCTCGTCCCTCCTCGGAGAAGGCGCTGCCGCTGCCGGTCCCCGTCAGGAAGCCGCGAGCGTCACAAACTGCGTCAGCTTCTTCAAACACGTTTCACGGGCTCCCTCCAGCCGGGGAGCCGGCCGCTGGGGCAGCGGGGCCGCGGCCCGGGCTGGCGGGAGCCCCTCCGGGGAGGAGAAAGTTCCTCCGGGCCCTCCCCTCGCCCGCGCTGCGCCCGGCCCCGCCGCGCCTCCAGCCCCTTTCCGCGCGACGCCCGCCCCGCCGCGCAGCCCGCCGGCCCGCCCCGATGGCAGGTTGGGCAACTTATGACCCCCGGGCGCCCGGCGGCCCCCTCCCGCCCGTCCCGGCCCCCAGCCGCTCGGGGGCCTCCCCCCAGCCCGGCGGAATACAGCGACGCCAGAAACTTCCCCGGGCCGCGCCGGGCGGGGGAGCCGCCCGGGTCCCGGCGCACCGCCCTTACCTTGCTCTCGGGAGGCCACGAGCCGGGCGGGCCGCGCGGGGCGCGTGGTGCGCGAGCGCGCGCGCGTGGGGAGGTAGATGAGGGCGCCCGCGCCGGCGGGGGCGGGGCGGGGCCGCAGGGTGCGGGCGGGGCGGCGGGGGGGCGGCCGGGCGGGCGGGCGCGAGGAGAGCGGAGCCGGCGGCGGCGGCGACGGCGGGCGCGGGGCGAGCGCGCCGAGGGGGCGGAGGAGTTGCCGTGGGTTTGTTTACGCATTGCTGCCCGGCTCGGGGCACAGCCCGCACTCCCTGATTGGACACAAACTGGGGCACAGCCTCTCGCCGCCGCCCGCCAGGCCTCCTCGAGCAGCCGCCGCGCAGCTCCCGGAGCGCCCGGCCCGGCACGGCCCGCGGCGGCGTCCGGGCCTGGAGGGGACGAGCCGCGGCGGCGGCCGGGCATGAGGCCCACACGTGGGGCCGAGGCTCGCAGGCGCCCACCTGTAGGGGCCCGACCTTGGCAAGGAGAAATTCGAAACTTATGAGGCTGGAGTCATCGTATCATCCAGCCATAGAAGCGTAGAAGGGGCACTACCACCCCCCCCCCCCACCGCCCCCACCCTCATACACAGATGGAAGTCGGAGGACGCTTGCCCTTGATGGGGAGAAGAGCAGCTCAAAGGTTGATATGCCCCTTTGGCGATGGTCAAGCTGAGACTTCCTGTCTGGTCTGTCCCTGGGAGATCGCGGTTCCTTCGCCTGTCTTCAGCTTCTCTGTTGTAAATCTGTCCTCCAGGCAGCATTCAAGTAGCCATCCCAGAAGTGACCTTGCCAAAAGACGCTCAAGATCCTCAGATGGCTCTTGGAGCCTCAAGTCCCATTTCCTTAGTCTCTAAGTCCTCTGCAGCTGGGTCTCCGCCTTTCAGCCTCTTTTCCAGTGCCCAACCCTCACCCTCCAAACCCTTGTTACAAACCCTCAGATGCCCCTGTCCTTTCACAATTGATTTTGCTCCTGCTCTATGTTCTGCTAGAAAAGCCATAGCCTCCTCGACCTGTCCAGCTAGCATCCTCTCCGCTTGTCCACAGAAGGTCCCTCCTGACCTTCTGACCTCTCTGCAGCCTCCTGACCGCTGTGCAGAATCCTCCTGTGTGGCTGCCATCAGCCTGACTTGAGGGTCAGTCATGTGCCCAGTCTGTGCGCTCCACTAGGCTGTGGATTCTGAAGAACAGGAACCTGGTTTTTAATAGCAGGACTCTGGGGGATGGGAGAGATGATGCCTGGAGAAAAAAAATTAAGCATCTGCAGCTCTGCGGGACAACAAAAACTCAAAAGTCTCTGTCAGAAGGGGCTCTTGATAGACCATCCACAAATCTTATCTTGCACAGAGCAAACACTTCCAAAAACCCAGAATGTCCTCCCAATTTGTCTCTGTGTCTCCACCTCACCACACCTGGCTAGGTGCCCTCTGTACCTGAAAGGGCACATAGTAACCCTTGGAGGAATAAAACTGAGGTGTTCCTTAAGCTGAGGCTCAAGGTGATCAAAGTGAGTATAGTAAATCATGGAGGAATAGATGTGAATGGCCACAAACCCAGTCGTTTTACAGATAATTCCAACTCTGACAGCCACTGTGGATTTGTCCTCCAATCAAACACTGGAGAAGTGGCCCCTGACTCTTGCTAACTCTTGGAATGGCTGGATTTCTTTCTCTCACTAGATGTGCTGTTTTCCCTGAGAAAGTTGTCTTTGAGCTCCAAGGGCCAATGCAAGTGAAAGTAAAGTCTTTGCCAGGTACCTCAGTCATGTTGGACTCTTTTCAACCCTATGGGCTGTAGCCCACCAGGCCCCTCTGTCCATGGGATTTTCCAGGCAAGAATACCAAAGTGGGTTGCCATTTCCTCCTCCAGGGGGATGTTCCCAACCCAGGGATCAAACCTGTGTCTCTTACAGTCTTCTGCATTGCCAGGTAGGTTCTTTACCACTAACCCCACCTGGGAACCCCAGGTACTTCAATAGTGATCTTTTAAAGCAGTGCATTAGTTACAAAGGGGCTTCCCAGGTGGCGCTAGTGGTAAAGAACCTATTTCCCAGTGCAAGAGAAGTACAGGACGCGGGTTTGATCCCTGGGTCTGGCCTTGGGTGCCTCAGTTGGTTACCTCTAAGACTCTTCCTGTGGGCACTGGGTTCTGACCCAGGCAGTGCAGACTTTTTCTTTCCAAGCCCCAGAACTCTTTCTTTTTCTATTTGTCCTTTGGCTTCCATGTTTCCTTCTGTACTCTTGTCTACCATGACTCCCGTATGCTTCCTTTGTTTCGCTTACTTCTCTATCTCTGGCTCATATTTTTCTCCTTATGTCACCATACACCTCCTCCTGACCTCTCTATTTCCCACTGAGCCTCTTCCCACCTCTGCCTGCCCTACTTCTTCCTGGGCAGGAGGGCAGCCTTCTTCTGCTTGAAGGAGATGAGCAGGTTCCTCTGTAGGCAATGCAATTCAGAACTATCATATTGTTGCTTCTCTAGACACTATGCTAGATACTTCACCTATGTTATCTCGTTTAATCCTTAACCTCACACCTACCTGCTGGGCACCACTTAATGGGACTTTAGTGGCTTCGTAACTGCCCATCCGAGGAAAGGCTTTTGTGGTGCAAGTCACCAGTGATACTGCTAATGGTCCTCTTAACCTTCCTCATCTTCAAGTGTCTCCCTCCACCCTTTTTTCTCCTTATCCTACATCTTTCCCTTTCAGTAACACAGATATTTTTCCTAGATCTCAACCCTCAACAGTTTAATACATCTCCACTCTAAATCTCCAAATATTGAAAATGGCTATTTGAAGAAGGTTGCATTTCAGTTGACTTTTGAAAGCTGGACAGGATTTCAATAGACGAAGATTGAGGAAGGACATTCTTGATGGGACAGTGAACCATATGGTCCAACTTAAACACAAGAGATAGCAATGAAATAAGGTCAGATTTCATAAATTTGTCTTTAGAGCTCAGTACTCTAAGACCACTCAGATATATTGTATAATTCATGTAAATAGAATCATAACATTCTAAAGCCAGAAAGCAATCTAGACATTGTCTGACCCAAGATGTCCATTTTTAAGCGAACTGAGCCTTCAAAGACTTAGGTAACTGAAGTAGTTAAACATGGGCATTAGAGTCGACCACCTGTATTCAAATCCCTGCTTTGACAAATGTTGGGTAATATGATCTTGAATTTATCTGTGCTCCTCCTGTTATAAAATAGGAAACTTGACAGAACCTACCTCAGTGGGTTGTTGTAAGAATTAAATGTTTTTACAAGTAAAACACATAGTACAGTATCTGTCATACAGTCTGTCTTAAGTAAATATAGGTGAGTATTATAATTTTTCCTATGGTTATTCACTAGCAAATACCGGAGCCAGAACTGGTCCGCCAAATCTGTTTAGCGGTAGCTGAGTACCCTCTCCATTGCTAGATGTTATCTCAGGGTGCTTGCTGAATGCCATCTATGGGGCTGTGGTGTTGCCCTGGTCTGCTGTCTGTAGAAGTTCTCAGTTATCTTTCTAGCTCACATTCCTCTACATTTCTACCAGCCTCAGCAATCTCACTGTGCAGTCAGTCCTGTATATGTGAAGTTCCTGGAGAGGAGAGGGACATGGAAATTAGCAATGGACATGTATTTCATGGTCAACAATACAGTTGAGAAGTTTTTATATCAGCAGATTTTACTAATTTAAACTTCAAAGGGCCAAAAAATTGTTGAATTTAAAGGAGTTGGAGTGATCTGTTATTCTTCAGCCTGTAGAGTGTCAAACCTACCAATTTAAATTTTGGTAGTTCCTTAGGAGAACCCACCAGGATCAAGAAAAAGCCTTCCTTAAATTTGAGTGTCCAATCCTTCAACAAAATTGTGATGGTAGAGAATCTCTTTTGTCCCTCCACCTTTGCTTTCTGAGTCCCTGGTCCCGCTTTTCAAAACTCCCTAGCTCTATGAACTGCATGCTGTCCACTCTCTGGACTGTAAGCATCTTGAAGTGATGAACCACAATTTACTCACCTTTTCATCTCTGGAATGTAGCTCGAGACAACAGGTGTCCATGCATTGTTGAACTGACTGATGCGAGCAATGCCACACACACCAAGAGGATCCCTTCCGCCTCCTCTTCCAAGACTTTGTCTCCTCGGTTGGTTTGTCCTTAGCTGGTTGTCAGCCTCCTACACTAATTCACCAGAGAAAGCATGAGAACAGCTAAATGTGAAATAAATGTTCATTTTATAATACAAACTGCATTCAAAGGGTTTTTAATAGTAGAAACCCAGGCAGTATTTATGAGGGTCAGAACGATATCTGGGGGGCAGCTGGACTTCCCTAAAACCTTCATATCACACCACACAAACTGAAGCTTCTCTCTCCTATAAATAAAGGCCACTTGACTTTGATTGTTACACATTTTAGTTTAGATTTATTAGGTTAATTTGGAGATGGCCTCCATTCTACATATTCATTATCCCACCTAAGTAATTTCTTAAAAGGCACAGCTTTCTTTAATCTTAAAAATGTCAATCATTGTCTCATTTTCCTCTTTTATATCAAAGCCAGGCTGATGACCCAATACCTTGAGCACTCACTGACTCTGTAAGCCCTCATATCTTTCTCCACTTCCGGTACTTCATTCACATGTTTCCTCTAGGAAGCTGGAAGGAATCCAAAGGGTTAATTCTAGATCAACTCATTTTGTAGGAGAGGAAACTGAGGCACGGAGATGTCAGTGACAGAATCTTGAATTCCCAGTCATCATTCCATGCTCTATCCACCTAAAAGTAAACTGTGCATTACTAACTGCCTTCCTGACTTCTACCTGTCACCATGGTCCCTTAGGATTAAAATAGGTGTTTTTTGACTCTTCTTTTTCTTCAGGCCTCCCCTTCCACATCAGGATATCTCTGACTTGTCTTTCTAGTCTGAGCTGTCCCATGACTCAGGGCTTTTTCTTTTTACAACTGTATTACTACAATAGGTTGTTAAATGGTTTCATTGTCTCTCTCCAATTTCCTCCTCTTATACAGAGTCAACCTAGCAGAACCATCTTAATATAACTCAAGTTTTTTTTTTTAATTAATTTGAGGATAATTGCTTTACAATATGGGGCTTCCCAGGTGGCGCTAGTGTGGAGAACCCACCTGCCAATGCGGGAGACGTAAGAGAGGCAGGTTCGATCCCTGGGTTGGGAAGATTCCCTGGAGAAGGGCACAGCAACTCACTCCAGTATTCTTGCCAGGAGAATCACGTGGAGAGAGGAGCCTGGTGGGCTATAGTCCATGGGGTCACACAGAGTCAGACACGAGTGAAGGGATTTAGCATGCACGCCCTTTACAATATTGTGATGGTTTTGGCCATACATCAACATGAATCGGCCAGGGGTATACACATGTCCCCCACATCCTGAACCTCCCTCCCACTTTCCTCCCGACACTATCCCTCTGGGTTGTCCCAGAGAACCAACTTTGAGTGCCCTGCTTCATGCATTGAACTTACACTGGTCATCTATTTTACATGTGGTAATGTACATATTTCAATGCTGTTCTCTCAAATCATCCCACTCTCACCTTCTCCCACTGAATCCAAAAGTCTCCTCTTTACATCTGTGTCTCCTTTGGTGCCGTGCATGTACGATCATCAGTACTGTCTTTCTAAATTCCATATATATGTGGTTTTTAATAGTTATAATAAAATGGTGACATTTTGCCATGTAAAGTCAAATTCAACATGCATTTAGACTGTCCATGAGCAAGTTTATTATTGTCAAGTCTTTCCAGTTCTGAAACCTATTAGTAACTAGCTGTGCAACCTTAGGTAACTTCTATGTACTGTCATGTCCTTGGTGTGTTAAGTGGTGATAGTATCAGTACATGTGCCTCACTCATAGGTTTGCTTGAGAATTAGGTGAAATAATAAATGCAAAATGATTAGTAACAATAGTTGTCATAGGTAATATTTGTTGAGTCCATAATGCCTATGGACCAGGCATTATCCTAAGCTTTTAAAATGAATTGTATCATATTGACCCTTTAACATAGATCCATTATTATTTCTAGATGAGAAAAGTAAGGTCCAAAGGAGTTCAGAAACTTTCCAAAGATTAACAAGCCAAGAAGTGACTGAACCAAGATTTAGAACTGGGCAGTCAAACCTGGACAAACCTGTATACCACAGACTGGTACATAGAAAGCACTTAGTAAATGGTAGTTATTTTATTGTTGTTTTTATTATGAGTATTATTACTTTAAAGGGAGGAGAAATCCTTTTTTCTGCCTGCCTTCCCAATTTCTTTCAGAAGCTGAGCCTTAGCATCACAGTGGGAATCCATGTTGCTGGGTACCACATATTTCTGCTTCCCAAAGAGAGAATGGAAGGATGATCAGGGATTCTTGCACTGCTGGGGCCCTGTAATCACCCTGGTCCTCCCCATCCCAGTAATATTCTTGATAAAATGGGACTTCAGCGGGCACTCTCTAGCCCAGGATGAGTTCACAGAGACAGGTCAAAGATTTGTTCTCTGATGGTGCTAGAGTTCCTTTAGGGCTTTCTCATGGTTGGGACCAGAACATTCTCTCTGTCTAGCGCTGCTTGTTTTTCCGCCTCAGAAGACAATTTAGGGAAGAGAATCTCCCCAGTGGCTTCCCAGCAAATAATTCTTTTGGTCTATAGTATAGTATTTCATTTCCTTCCCTTAGGGTATCTTTTGCATCAAATGGTCTGATTTAAGTCTTCTTCCCTTTGATGATGCTAAAAACCAAACAAGCCCCCTCATTACTGGTTTTGCTGTTCCTTCTCAGGTGCTCCTTGCATTCTTCTTTGGCCCGCCCAGTTTCTGCACTGGGTTGACACACCAGGCCTTTCCTGCTCCCTGGCTTTCCTCAAGTGTCACTGCCCCCTAAGCATCTGGCTTATATTTGAACATCTGGTCTTTCTGATTCATAGCATTTGACCTTGGCCTTCCAATAATGAGATTTTCATAGATCCTGGAATCATACAATGCTAAAGCCAGAAGGACTTTTGTAGATAACAGATGCCATGTGATTCCTTTTACAGTGGAGAATCAAGACCCAGGGAAGCCAAGTGTTGGATGTACAACTACACAGCCTATGATGGGGGAAGCTAGAACCAGACCCGAGACTTGCACTTCATTTATTTTTTGTGAGTTAGATTATGATGCCTGGAAATAATAATATAAGGAATTTACAAGTGTCTTCTCCCAAAATGTTTAGCTTTTCATATCAGTGGTTTTCCTAATACATTTCCAGGAGGCTCAAAGACAAGGAATTCCACGACTGAAAAAAAACGCAGCCATAAGAAGACATGAAGGACTTCCCTAGCGGTACAGTGGATAAGAATCCACCTGCCAACGCAGGGGACACGGGTTCCTTCCCTTGTCTGGGAAGATTCCACATGCCGCAGAGCAACTAAAGCCCAGGCACCGCAACTATTGGATCCTGCACACTCTTTTAAGGGCCCACAAGCTATAAGTACTGAGACCGCACACCACTACTACTGAGTCCATGTGCTCCAACTACTGAAGCCTGTGTGCCTAGAGCCTGTGCCCCTCAACAGGAGAAGCCACTGCAGTGAGGA